TTTTTTTTTTTTTTTCTCAAAAAGTTTTTACAAACATTTCGGAGCAACTTTTTCTACGAGACTACAGCCATTAACACCTTAAGATATGGTCATTGCTCAATAACTTCAAATGTTTTTGTATTGGTTTGTCATGCTTTTTAAACATAATTTTTGAGATCTGAGTTATATGTGAGTTTGCAATTTGCGGAAAACATCATGGAATGTCTTTGTGAATTTATATACAAATTATTTTGGAAGAGATCATTTAGTAAAATCTCCAAATGGAGTGGCGTGGGCGTGAGATGCCAGATGCAATTTGACTTTATTATTTTCACGTGTGCACTAATTGTATTTATTTTGTCAAGTAAATTTGTAATTTGATTTTATAGTTGTATCCATAGTTTTAAAACCCGGACCATCTAGACTCGGGTTGGGTCACTGAGTCAATTGTTAGTCAATTGTTGAAACGGGTAATTAATTTTATAAGTTTTTTTAAGTTATGTCTATTATTTTTATCTTATAACTATACATAACATAATAAAAATCAATTATTTATATGTAAATGTAGTACACCAAAGTTCTAATAATATTGTATTTTGTCATAAATATTCACCACATATAGATATATACATAATTTTATTTTTAACTAGGAAGATGCACGTGATATTAATCATTTTTTCTTTACTTAAAATTGTTTTTATTATTAAATTTACTTTTAATAGTATTATATAATTTTCATTCCATTAGTTAATAAAAAATATCTATTTTATAATAATCAATAATAAATGTATTAAATAATGAAATATAATATTTAATACTTTCACCAAACTATGACATAAAATTAAATAAAAACTATTGGTTTGAAAATACACAGTAAAATTATTATTATTATTATTATTTGTGAAATTTTAAATGCTAAAGAAATTTATGTCGTCTTTGATTTTGTTTTATAATGATAACTCATTATGCTTAAAAATAACGATCATTATCATTGTCATCATAATATAGTTTTTTAATGTCTTCTTCTTGCGTTATGCTCTTTGAAAATAAGTCGAATATGTTATAACTATCATTTGTAGTTATAGTTTTTCTTATTGTTAATTGAAAACTAACCAACTATGTTTGCTTGTTTCATTCTCGACTATTTTCATCATAGTGGATGCTGATCAAGTATAATATTTCATAATATTTAGATATGTTTTTTTTTTTATTTGAATAAAATGGCACAACAAATAAATAAATGCTTGAAAATGTCTCGTGATTATTTCAAAAATAAACTAGAAAAGATTAGGAACATTAACATCGATTAAATGTATCCATTTTTCTATATATATTGTCCAACATTGGTTGATTGAAGGTACTCATCTCATATGTTGTCCAATATAAATTATTGTTGCATCTCCTATTACCATGCATGCACTACTATTTTTTGTTCACGAATTTTCAAGACTATCATAAATGTGACAAAATAAATAATTTCAATTTATAAGAATTATAAAATGGCGATTCTTTCATATTTTACTTTTATCTTGACTTTATTTTTTATATATTCGTCAATATTTTATATAGTTATTTTTTTTTTAACTTTCGAGAAGTAATTTGAATCATTTAATTTATGAATTATATAAATATATATATATAATTGCAGGCTATTACATTAATGTAATTGCCTAGCTTTTCCCGCTTATTTTTTATGTTATTTTTAGTATGTTTCACCTATCATTTTATTTGTGTTTTTTGTAATTAATATCTAATATTTAATATAAGTTGTAACGGTCATATCTTAAAAACTTATATAATTGCACTTTTGTTAATTTGGTAAGTAAATAATTATTTGAATTAAATAATATATATTTTTATATATATCGAATTTTCCTTATGAAAAAATTTATGAAAATAAATCATAACCATATCAATTATTTTGTTTTTTTTTTCATTTGTAGAGATACCATTATTAATGAAATTTATATATGTATATATGATAAATAATCCTACCTATCTTTTCAAGCCATCTTAATAATGTAAATTAATAATGTAAATTAATGTTAGTTTATAAACTTATGTTATCTTTTATCAATTTTTATTCTAAATTAGTTTTTTTAAGTGTTGTAAAATACATAAAAAAATGTAGCTAGGTGTATTAATTGAGATGAAATGGTTCTTTATTTTTTCTACATATTTGTGCAAATGAAAAAAATTATATTCATATTTAATAATGACGAAATATTTTTCTTATAAATTAATACCAATATCATTACTTAATTATAAGTGAAAAATTATCAGTGAACTAATCTAAATGTACACGTATTTTATTATATAAATATAGTATGCATATCATTTGTTCGATAATTTTCTGAAAAAAGATCAATTTATGTGGTAAATAAGATTTACATTGTCCATTTTATATTTTATATTTTTTACTTTGGTAATAATTTTATTATTAATACAACATTAATATAAAAATTAGATTATTCATTATATTCATATAATAATAGTCATTAATATATAGGTTTTACATTTCTATTGTTCTCTTTTATCGAAGTATAAAAATTCAAGTAAGGGTCTTTAATTTAATTCAATTATGAATACTATTGAGTAAAATTTTGGTTTCAATTATGATTTTTATATATAATATTTATTTATTTTGGGTAACATGTGCATGTGCACAAAATTAATGCTAGTTTTATAATTAAGAGTGGCTAATGACAACAAATTTAAAGTAAATGTACTATTTACTTTTATTTAGCACATTTTAAGGTAACTATTTTTTAATAAGTACACATTTTTTTTTTAAATTCAAGATTTAAAATAGAGTTTTAGTTATTTTATTTAATTTTTATAATTACTCTATTTTTATTTATATTACAATTAAAATAGATAGTAGATTAATTTATGTAACACATAACACATAAAAGAACATTATGTTATACATGCTATTATTAAGAAGTAAACTTAAATCATATTATGCATATTGTTTTAGTGAATAATTTAAACAAAATATTTTAAGATTATATATTTTTCACTTAACGAATAACTATTTTCCACAAAAAAAAATGACAGTTTGTATGATAAAGAATTATTTTTCATTCAATTATCCTTACACATATGCATATTCACCAAAATTTTTCCTCGTTTAGTTTTTTTAATACTATTACAAAAAGTTTCTATAGTAATAATATGATAGTTGGAAATTAGAAATGATATTTGCATTGGTGCATTATATATTTTACACTTATGAAATAAAATTATATTTTATTTAAATTAATATTTTTTCTTACATTTAAAAACTACCTTTAAAATAACCAAACTAAATCCTAACGTCATATGTAGATTAATTCTGAATAATATAATTAAAAATAAATTATTTAAAATCTATATATTTGCGTAGATAATCTCTTTGTATTTATCTATTATTCAGTTAACGAATAACATTTTTTCACAAAAAAACTGACAGTTGAAAAATTATTTATTTTTCATTCAATCATTCTTAAACATATGCATATTCACTAAATATTTCCTTTATTTTTTTAAATATTGTAACAAAAAATATCTATAGTGACAATATGATAATTGGAAATCATAGATGGTATTTTCATTGATGCATTATATATTTTACACTTATAAAATAAAAATATTTTATTTAAAATAATGTCTTCTCTTACATTTAAAAACTACCTTTAAAATAATCAAACTTCTTAACATTAATAAGAAAATTACATTCATAACCTTAAAATTTATCTTTAGTAAGGGCATTTTTGGCACTTCAAAAGTTTCAAGAAACTACTCATCCTTTTAAGGGAGTTATAGATTATAGAAAATAAAAGGTAAAAAAAATTATTTAATGGTTGGGTCAAGTCGAGTTGATCCGGTCGGGTCAATAGCCGGGTCAACAGGGTCAAGGCCGGGTTGACAGAGTCCCTTGCTACCCGGTCCGAACAACCCATCGGACCAGTCCCGGCCCCTGGTCGGCTCGCCAGGCTGGTCCAAGTTTCAAAATAATGATTGTATCTGAATTTTATTTTGTGCAAATATGTTTATATTGTTACAAACCTTAGGGTTTTAGATGATCAATTATTCACAAGAGGAGGCCCCATATATATAGACTTAGGACATATGGGTTAGGCCTATAATTTAATAGTTAACACCCCCTTTCAAACTCAAGGTGGAGGTGGAGGTGGAGGATCCGAAGCATTGAGTTTGAGCAAGTGAAGCCGATGCTGCTCTCTAGTTTGTGCTTTGGTGAAAAAATCAGCCACTTGCAGTTCTGACGGCACATACTGAAGAACGATTGTTTTCTGATGACAGTGAGATCGGGTAAAGGAAGCATCAACACCTATGTGTTTCGTAAGTTCATGCTTTACTAGATAATTGGCAATTTGAATTGCTCCAGTATTATCACAAAGAAGAGGCGTAGGATCATCACATGGAATACCAAAATTGGCTAACAATCATCGAAGCCATATAATTTCTAAAGTGGTAGTAGCAAGTGCTCGAAGTTTGGCCTCTGTACTAGATCGAGATACAGCTGCCTGCTTCTTGGACTTCCATGTCAGGGGAGAAGAACCAAGAAAAATGCAATAACCAGTGACAGAACGACGATCAGTTAGATTACTCGCCCAAGTAGAATCCGAGTAAGCATGAAGCAGAAGCGGACAATCACGAGCATTAAATAAACACTAAGATGATGTTCTCCTTAAGTATCGTAGTACGCGAAGCAAATGCCCAAAATGAACTGAAGTAGGAGCACTCACAAACTAACTCAATATATGAACAGCGTGAGCAATGTCAGTAAGATAAACAAGACTGCCTAATATATGGCGATAGCGAGAGGGATCCTCAAGAGACTAAGCTGTAAGTGAAGATCCATAGGTGTAATCGTTGTCCGATTATCAGTAATATCTATGTATTTGGACTAAGAAACATTGATTTTAGGTCGTCCGATTAATCGCGATCGCGATTAATCGTCCTGGTCGCTCCCAAGTGCTCGATTAGGAGGTCCGACCCGACCAGCTCGACCAGAAACCTGGTCGTCCGATTAATCGACGATTAATCGCGATTAATCGTCCGACCAGGGCATATGGACGGACGACCAGGACATATATTTGTCTTTTTGGGCTGGTATGTGGGCTGCTGGGCTTGGCCTGTTTGGCCTGTTTAGCCTGTTAGGGTTAGGATATATATAGGAAGGAGGCAGCCAGGGACAGATCGACCAGCCCGATTAATCTAGCTGGTCGACGATTAATCACGATTAATCGTCTGGTCGGTCCCTGGTCGACCAGGTTCGACCAGCCGACCTGAAAACACTGCTAAGAAAGGTAATAGCCCGAGGCAGAATGCATCACCTCAATGCCCAGGAATGGCATGTGACACATCAGAATCATCTAGGACGGCAGGACTGGCCATTGGAATAGGATGAGGCGGAAGCGTTGTATGACCTTTGGAACGACGAGTATAGACTTGTGATGGGTTGTTTATATGGCGGAGGCTCATTAAAGTTAGGTGGTGGAGGCTCATCAAAGTTAGGTGGTGCAGGCTCATCATGAGTGGAAGATGGAGAAAGGGTTATAAAAGAAAGGACGATCCTCGACAAAAGTTACATCACGAGATATACACATGCGACGAGCGGAAGAATCATAACAAAGATAACCCTTATACTCCGAACTATATCCCAATAAGACGCACTCAACCGACTGAGCAGACAGTTTAGTGCGCTCACGAGGAGCAAGCAATACATAGCATGTACACTCGAAAACCCGAAGATGATCATAGCTAGGGGGAATACCAAAAAGAACCTCACCAGGTTGGAAGACTTCCAAACTGTCGGTTGAAAAGATAAACAGCTGTAGACACAACTTCTCCCCAAAAATGAGAAGGAACAAACGAGGCAATGAGAAGGGTTCTAGCAGTCTCAATGAGATGAGGGTGTTTTTTTTCTGCAACACCATTCTGAGCATGTGCACCACCATTCTGAGCATGTGCACAAGGACAGGACAGGTGGGCAAGAGTGCCCTCAGAGGTCAAAAATTGACGAAAATTGTTAGACATATACTCACCACCAGAATCAAACAAAAAACTCGCATAAGAGTAGAAAACTGTGTATGAACCATGCGAGCAAAATCTTTATAAATGGAACACAATTGAGAACGATGTTTCATAAAATAAACCAAAGTATATCGAGAATGATCATCAATAAAAAGAACATAATATTTATTGCCACCTTTTGTAGGAAAAGGGGACGGACCCCATACATCAGAGTGAATAAGATCCAAATGTTTAACAGAATGAGAAATACTAGTAGGATATGGGAGTTGCAGCTGTTTTCCGAGCTTGCAACCCTTACATTGAAAACTATACACGATAGATGTACGACCTAAACAACCAGTACTAATCAAAGTAGACAAACGAGACCCACTCAAGTGACCAACACGATGATGCCACATGGCAAAAGATGAGGTGGAAGACGAGGCAACGGATGACACACGAGCGGTAGAACCAGTGGAAGAAGGAAGATGTAAAGTGTCTAAGACGTAGAGGCTCGGAGAACCTTTACGGCGATGGCCAGTCCCAATCACAGCCCTGCTTCGACGATCCTGAATAAAACAAGATGAATCATCAAATCCAACAAAACAGTTTTGATCAGTGACCTGACCAACGGAAAGAAGATTCATAGATAATTTAGGAACATAAGAGATATTAGGCACTGAAAAGCGTAAATTGCAGAGAGAACCCTCATGAGTGATATGACAAAAAGTGCCATCAGCTGTCTGAATAGAAGCACCATCGGGGACCGCACTGCAGGCAACCAACTAAGAATGATCAGATGTCACATGAAAAGATGCTCCAGAATCGAGGACCCAAGACTGAGGCATGGACAGAAGAGGTAGCAGCGACAGAAACAGACCCCTTTGTAGCAGAAGTCGTACCACGAGCCCGAGCAGCAATGCGCTCACGATACTCAGCCAACTTTTCGATGCTGAGTAAAACAATTCTCGTGACTGTGACCGGTCTTACCACAATGCTTACAAGGTTCTGGAGAGTCACCTCTGGGTGCACTAAGTCGTGTTTGTCGTTGAGAAAATGTCCTTTGAGGGGCTGCCAACACACTCTGCGATACAGATGGCACAACCACTGACAGAGAATGAAGACGAGTCTCTTCATCAATCAAATCAGATAATGCTTGTGTCATGGTCAGAGTAGAGGGGTTATGAAGCAACCGTGTACGAATGGACTCAAATTCTGCTCTGACTCCCATGACAAAGCGATAAACAAAGAACTTCTCAACAAATTTATGTGTTGAACAATCCTTCGCCGAGCACTGAGGTACCATAGAGATCAATGGACCCATCAAACGATCAAAAGCAGAGTAGTATTCATCCATGGACATGGAGTTCAGTTCAATCACGTGAAGTTGTTGCATAAAGGTGTGTAAGAGAGCACCACTATCCTGAACATAGCGCGCTGCTGCAAATAGGACCACATTCCTTTGGCTGTCCGAAATGAAGAAAGGCTCATAATCATGGACTGTTTGACACTGTTGACGATGGCAGCCATCACTTTCCCATCATTAATCTGCCAGATTTTGATTTTGGCAGCATTGCTATTATCGGCCTTCCTTTCGGGTCCATCATCAGTCAAGTGAAAAGCCAAATTGTAACCCCTCAACACGGTTTCAACCGAGAAAGCCCACTTTCGATAATTCTGACCATCAAGAGTAATATTGATAGCAATTCCATGGAGTTGCGACATGATTTGACAAACACGTAGCAACGAGCCGCGACGAAGTATGAATGAAAGCGCTGCGACGGGCGGCGTTGAGGCACACGATAAGAAGAAAATAGAAATTGACGACGGCCGGGACAGATTAGAGTACAAAAACCCTAGCCCCGAAGAATGACAAATCTGAAAATGCACAAAACGGACACCAAAACCTCCTGAAACACAAAACAAAGAACACTGGCAGCACGAGCTCGAAATTCCGAGTTCACGGATGGTCGTCGGAAAAAATTCCGACCAGCCACGTGCCGGCGCGTGGGATTGACGGCAGCAACTTCCGGCGGCACGTGTGACTCACACGCGCGGCTTCTGACGGCGAAACTTCGCCGGAAGGTCGGTCACGAGGCGGCGATTTGATTGGTGTGGGAGGTGAGATCGAAAAAAAAATATTTATGTGTAAGGCTTTGATACCATGTTACAAACCTTAAGGTTATGATCAATTATTCACCAGAGGAGGCCCCATATATATAGACTTAGGACATATGGGATAGGCCTGTAATATAATAGTTAACATATATAATATTACTAAAAATGTAAATTAAAATGTTATAAAACATTATAAAATGAAGATATCTTGCAATATGAAAAAAAAAAAAAAAAAAGAATTAATGCAGTATGTATAAATTTTTTGGTTAATCAAATTATATTTTGATATCAAAATTGATACAATATAAATAGAATAAAATGATAATATTCCACATACAGTAAAATTTAGAGTGTACAATTTTGGAGACGAGTTAATTTTGCCCCTACTCTTCTCAAAGTGGACTGAACTTCATTATATACTGCTAATACAATTAATTATCTGGACAAATTGAATAGATAGAAATTGGGTTATACAGGCACTCTGTGATGCCTACTGTGGTGAAAATTATGGATCAACGGATTTCGATGTGCTTGAGAATGTGAGAGATGCAATTCTGAGGATGACTTATTACTGGTAACATTTGGCAACACATTTTGCATGATATTAATATGTGGCAGTTCATTTACTCTTTTTCCAATACTTCAGCTAAGCGATTATTTGCAGGTACAATTACATGCCACTATCGTGTGGCAATCCTGTTGTTGGCTTCACTGTGTTGCTCGGACTGTGTCTGGCCGCCAATATGGAATTCACAGGGAGCATTCCAGAGGGAGTGCAGGTGAATTGGGAAGCAATCCTTGAGTCGGATCCCAAATCCTACATATCGTCTGTGAAAAGCTGGCTCTATCCGTCACTCAAGATTAATACGTCATGGAAATCCTATCCTGATGTGGCATCAACTCTCTACACGACTGGATCGGTTGTTGCCGCCTTAAGCACCTACTCTGACTGACAAGTTCTAATGCAGGTAATGTTCATTGGTCTTGTGATGGTAGCTAGTTAACTGACCTGAAAGAGTAATCCTAAAGACTGGGGGAAGAAAACTTGAAAAACTGGCATCAATTTGTCACAACTTTTTGTCTCTTCTAATAAGATCAAATCTCATGGGTAATATTTGTAGTTACATGACATCCCTTGGAGATTTTTATTTATTTATTTTTTTTTTTTTTTATATCTTATGCACTGATCCTATGTTGGCTCTAACATTATGCACAATTATATATTTGGCCAGAGATCGGCATGAACAATCTGGTGGTTTTGGAACAATTCCTCCGTTACTCTTACTGAAAAATAAAAGAAAGATCAAATACAGGACTCGCAGATTGGTTGTTCCATATAATACTTGCACGATGTAACACTATGGTTGAGTAACATATGCACGAGAGAGAGAGTCTCTCAACTTATTGTAAGCTAGTTGAGCTTTCTGTACACTTCCCTCTTTTCTCGTTACTTTTCTTTGTTGCCACTTTCCTTCTTTCAGTATAAAGTACTAAACCACATTTGGATTGTGTATGGTGCGAAATCGGGCAAGTGATGCTAGATATATACATGAGAGTATTTTTTACTTATGTTTCATCTTTATTTGGGCTTGGTCTGTCCTTGGACTTTGAAGGCTCATCTTTGTTGGGCACTGACAAACACTGATGCTAGATATATGCATGAGAGCAATTTTTACGTCTGTTTCATCTTTACTTGGGCTTGGTCTGTCAGAGACTTAAAAGGCTAACGGTTGTGGGATACTCTCTTTCACCCCAACATCTTTGTCCGGTTCTCGGTGAGAAAGGCTCCATCTTTTTTTTTTT